ATACTTGTTCAAGGGAGCTGTATCACATCAGACACACCAATCTATTGTTGAAAAAGATAAGAAAGGAATTTTAAAACGGAATAAACGATTAGCAAAGGGCACCTGGTGGATGCCGCTAAAGCCTCGTTTGTAATGCCCGTCTAGCAACCTTGACAGGTAGTGACGATTAGGCTGCCTACATGTTTCCGCTCCGCTTTAGGGTGGCGCCAACTTCTTGTTACCCTTTGCGAGATCCTCTCCCACTGCCATTTTTTCCCACATCTTAGTTCGCTAAACGCACACAACGTTGAGTTTCTGTAGTCTCGACACGCCGGCAACATTGTGAGGCCACTTCCGTTTCCGTTCATAAGAGGAGTCAGAGGCTCAGCGGGATGGCGTTATTCGTGGCTGTCGCTCTCTTTATTCGGATGTTTCATATTTTGAAGTGGCGAGCAGGAAGTGTGCGTTGCTTTTATCGAAACGCGAGTTCCCACGACAAAATGGAACGTCATGACCGGCGTTGAACGCCGAAACCTCGCCATCGGAACGAGAGCGGTGAGCGCTCCCTAGCCCTAACGACCAGCGAGTAAGAAAAAATGGTCGACGAAAACAGCAAAGGTTGCCATGGTAACGAGGTTGGCAACACTGGTTTGTCGGCAACAGGTACCACTAACGTTGCAAACGTTGTCGCCACCAACGAGCTTGAGCGGTAAACCAGCGGTCAAAAATGGCACCCCCCGGTTGCCGCCATCTTGCCTGTTTGCCACATTAGTGATCACGTGACGTTAAGATGGCTGTGCCCAAAGGTGAGCCAGATCCAAGGAGGTTATAAGTACTAGGAGGGGGCACGTTGCAATATTGGTGAAGCCTAGTCATAAAAAGTTTAAACGATTTTGTGCCCAGCGTGACCACAGATCTCTCTAGAGATTGGTGCTCGTGACATGTCACGTGTGAGATGGATGGTTGATTGTAGAAGGACTCCTTGCAGGCTTGCGCGCGCTCCGTCCGGTAGGTTTTATCAGATCGAATGCTAGACTGTGGTGTATTCTAGTACCCCGTAGCAAGACGAAGGCTAGCTACAGCCACGTGATGTGGTCACGTTGGCGTGGTAAGTGAGGAGAGTAAGGAGGAAAATGAGAAAGAGGCGAGGCGTCAAGGGAGCATGGCTTGTGGAGGCTACGCGGCCGACGTCATGCCCTCACCCTTCTATCCTCCTTGGCCAGATCAGATTGGCCAGATCGCGTTCAGAAGATGGGCACTCTGGGGCTGCGTTCGAATCTTACTCGAATGGCGCCAAGTTATTTTGGCGGATCAAGTCACGTGATAATTCAGATGCAGCAACGCTGGACGCGGGTAGGTTTTCGAACGAACGGGTACGAGAACTTCACCCAGGAGTGAGATAGAAGCTGCGTTCCATTTACTTGCACCACCGTTTACTTGCACCTCCTGCGCCGGTGCAGAAAAGTGTAGGTATATGTATAGGCTCCTTGCACTGACGTCAGAAGAGATAGAAGTGAGATAGAAGCTGCGTTAGCTCCTTGCACTGACGTCAGAAGTGAAGTGAGATAGAAGCTGCGTATAGGCTCCTTGCACTGACGTCAGAAGAGATAGAGTGAGATAGAAGCTGCGTTCCATTTACTTGCACCACCGTTTACTTGCACCTCCTGCGCCGGTGCAGAAAAGTGTAGGTATATATAGATACGACCGGAAGTAGACCGCCCCACACTTTTCTGCACCGGTGCAGGAGGTGCAAGTAAATCGAACACAGCTTCTATCTCACTCCTGGGTGAAGTTCTTGTACCCGTTGCGTTCGAAAACCTACCCGCGTCCAGCGTTGCTGCATCTGCCTTGTCACGTGACTTGATCCGCCGGAATAACGGCGCCATTCGAGTAAGATTCGAACGCAGCCCCAGAGTACCCATCTGCTGACCGCGATCTGGCCAATCTGATCTGGCTCACCTTCGGGCGCAGCCATCTTAACGTCACGTGATCACTAATGTGGCAAACAGGCAAGATGGCGGCAGCCAGGGGGGTGCCATTTCCGCTGCAGGTAGTGGGTTCCGGTTTACCGCTCTGAGGTAAGACTCAAGCTCCTTGGTCGCCACCCTAAACAGCGGAGCGGCGGAAACATGTAGGAACCCTAGCGACGATGCTCTCCGGTTTCCACGGGACAAGAGGGGGAAGGATAACCCTTTCACCGGGACTCTCCTTGGAATGTCCCAGACGTCGCTTTTGTCCCTCTAAAAGATTAACCCGTCCCTCAAAATTCATACGAAAGCAGCTTCGCCGTTAGTTGCGGTGACCCGGCAGGCGTTCGTGTAAACACTACTGCGTGATGCCGGTTAAAAAACCCAGGTTAGCGGTTGTACTGCACTGGCTAAGTTTCTCATCTACAGCTAAGAGACAGGTCACCCGTTGAGGCGTACGCAATTTTTTTTTTATTTTTTTAGTTGAGGTGGCTCGATTGCTGTCAGACACGTAGCCAGGATTTTGTTTCGGGGGGGGGGGGGGGGGGGGGGGGGGGGTAAGGGGGGGGAACCGGGCTCCATGCCCCCCCCCCCCCCCCCCCCCCCCCCCCCCCCCCCCCCCCCCCCCCCCCGGCTACGTGCCTGGCTGGCGTGCTTCGGCCGCTTCGGTGGCTGGGACATCCTTTCGACGTCAGCATCGCCGCAGTTTTGCTCGTCCGGAGACAATTTATGTCACGATTGCGCCAAATGTCACGTGCTCTCCACTGGCTGCTCCCCGAGCGCTTGCCAGAGTGGGTCATTTATAACGAAAAGTACAGTCATCAGGCTCAAAATACAAAAGGAAATTGTGGATCATATTCAGCCTATTTCTGAAGGCGGCGGGTATATTTCAAAGTTCGTTGAAGTATCCCTTTTAGAAAGCACACAGTAAAGCAAAAATCAACTTCAGAAAATATCAGTCACGGTATCGATACTGTGATACCGAAATGAATGTCAATAACGAATATATATTCAACGGACTAATCTCGGGCTCTGATGTCACTATAACGTTAGCTCAAAAAAAAGAAAAACGAAAAAAAAAAAACGTGTTTTTTGTATTTTTAAGGAGCGTGTTGGTAAGATGTACGATAACAGAAAGTATAAAACAGACGAAACACAGAATGCACTCGTCTGTGTTTCGTCCTCTCTCTGTTTTATACTTTCTGATATCTAGTGTTTTTTTTGTTTTGTTTTTAGCGGAAGATTTTTTTATGGGGTGCCCTCACACAAACAAGAGGTGGTTTAAGGGTGGGTAGGGATATCACTGCAGGCGAGGGTTGCGTCGCCGTTGCCACGTCGTTGCCACATTTGTGGTAGTGATTTCCTGTTCCGCGTTTTTTTTTTCTGTTTATTTCCGTGTCGTCTGAACGACTGCAGTCTTGCGTGATCTCACCAGATTATAGAAGTGTCAATATGCACGTTAAACATTCCTGGGGTGTGTTTGGGGCGTATAGGAAATACTATGGGGATGTTAGACTCAGTTTAAAGGTGTGTTAGGGGCATGTCAGGTGGGTGTTAGGTGTGTGTATAAATTAATGCGCCAGATGCATACCATACCATGCTACGCAGATAAAAACGACAACTTAAAAAATAAAAAAATCGCAAACCTTTTTTTTTTTTTTTTTTTTTTTTACACATGCCGCGCCAGCATAGATTGCCTGTGGCTGGACTTGTGAGAGGGCAAGCGCGGATCTCTTTCAAAGCTGCATCAGATGCAAACCCGGTTTCAACTGCACGCTACACCAAAACAGCAAAAAGAAAAGTCAGTTACGTTTTTAGACACAAGTGCAAACATCCATCGGTGTCGGTGCCACGAACATTTGCGGAAATGAAATAGAGCGTCGGCATGAGGATTGACGCCATTCGATGTTCCTTGACCCAGAACTCAATCTAGAATCTAACAGGGTCGCTTTCGCTTCGAAGAATACTTTGCGCAGAACATCGGCAGTATTAATAATAAAAAAAAGAACTAAAACAAACAACAGATTTTGAATGGGATTTGTGTCTTACGACATGACCAGGCACGGCACCCTGGATATATTTTCGTTTTGTTTTATGCTAAAATCCTTCCGTTTGGTTTGCACTTTTGATGCATCTTGCATATGGGACTTCAGCAAAAATAAAGAGGCAAGAATAATAAGAAACAAAATGTGTTTCTGTTTTTTCCTTTTTTTTTTTTTTTTTTTTTTCTTTTCGGCAGCTCTCGGAGGGATTTCGGGGTCGGTTCTGAGAAGTGCAGAAAGCATGAAGCGGCGCTATCTCTTACAAGTTGCATGATTCACTTGAACTTAATAAAATAACAATCCGATTAATGACTTTTAGCAATATTAGGAAGATTGCGCCGAACTCTAATAGCATGTAAAGGGCTCCGATAGCGTAGAGAGCCTGTATGATAACACCAAGAAGCAAGCGATCGAACTGCTCGACCCCTCCTTCCCCGTTCCCGCTCTTCTTTGAGAACATTTTCAACAACACCGAGCGGAACGAGATAAAAGCGAGGCCCGTGGCGCCAGCTAGCGAAACACTATGCACACACCACTATGGGCGTTGCCGGCCGTGTGCGTCGTTTGTTGGCCCAGCCACCCGTGCGCCGCTCGCAACGTTGATCACTCTTCGCCGACCTTGAACGATGCGACGACGCTAATGACACCAAGAACACGACGCGTGTACGCGCTTACAAAAATAAACCGCCCCAACTCTGACCTTTCACGGAAAGTCGCCACATTATGTGATCTCCCCCCCTCCCCCCATAGTCAAATTAACCAACGACGGGTATCCGGCACTCCCCAGCGAAGGACTGGAGATTAATTTCGACCACCTGGAAATTTTTTGAAGTGCATCCGAAAGCTCGGTTACACGGCACCTTCTTCGCAATAAACCTCCGTCAGATTTTTTTTTCTTCCCGGATTGAGATCTCTGGTGACCACAAAGCTGACAGTGCGGTGGAACCTGCGGGATCGATGAACCAATGAACCGCTTTCCTTTCATCACCGGTCTCCGCGCGCAGGAAGGGGTGACAAAACATGAACACGTGGGGGAGGATAGACGTACTAGCTTTCACCCCATGGTCATCTGAGGGGTGAACGGAGTCTAGGGAGCTGCTCAAATGGAGAACGGGTATCGAGGGTGCGCAAATAGGCGGCGCAAGTGGGGGAACAAAATACACCTGAGATATAATCCGAAATGCGGGAGCCGGCGGGTGCCGCTGGCTGCCGCCGGTGCCGGAGTGTCTCAGGAAGTGCGGAGAGCGGCTACTACAAGGTATCTCTCTTTTTCGCTCCCTCGGCACGCCGCACTGGCCGCACGCTGCGTACTTGAGTGGGCTGGGAATGCTAGGAAACGGAATATGGAATGTGGGGTAGACCGAGAGGGGGGAGAGAGGGCGGGGCCGGTGGGATGATCTGGTCGTTGGTGGCCGGTTTTGGCCGACGCAATGTACCCGGAGTAGAGATTATCCTTCCGGGAGGAAAAACCCTGTGTGTAAGGTCGTCTGAATAACGCGTTCTGTTGGGATTCTACGAGGAGCGTCTCTGGGGTGTTTGCTGCGGAGTTTCGGTCGCCCGCCGAGCGCGGGCAAACGGCTTTTATTTTGAATGGGTAGGAGCGAAGGTCACGGTGGACTTTACAGAGGCACGTGTTCCACTCGTGTCGGGTGAGGCTGAGTTAGCCCAAACCAGGACCAAAACATTGCTTTAATTTAGGAGATGCTGGTTGGAAGGACTCGAAAATAAACTTCCTGGGAAGCTTCGTACCTGAGAAATCCCTTGCGAAGTTTCAGGCTGGCTGCCGAGAGCGTTTTCTTCATCATGGAAGTTTGGGAGTTGGGTTAGGTCAGGTTAGGTTAGGTTAGGTTAGGTTAGGTTAGGTCGCGTCGTGATATGACAATATAAAGTTAAGGTAGGTCGTCTGACTAAGACACAGATACAAAAGAAAAACGCTACACGGCTGCTGTGTTAACTGCAATGCTAACAATTATTTTCTAGTTTAGAGGATTCAAAAGAAGGAGTTGCGAAAAACGGACGATAGAATTTACGCCGTCCGCAAGGACGTAATCTCGCCAATCATAAGTGAGTTGCAGACGAAACTTTGCTCAAGGAAATATTTGTGTCTTTTCTTTCCATTTCTTTGGTTTGTTGTCTTACACGTGGCCGCACGGGGGTTTCCAAGAGCTAGGTTCCAATCTCCGACTATCCGACTCACGTGAAATAGATAGAGTTTGAGAGAGCACGACGAGCCAGTTACATTACAAAGGATGCTTTGGTTACGTCTATTAAAAATAAACAACGACAACAACCAACCTCCAAAAAGCGTGATAGTGCGTGTCTCTACTTTGCGTCAAATTGTGCTACCATCACGCTCGTAACTTGTCAAGAAAGGTTTGATTTATGCGGAAGGGGTCACGAAAAATAACTGCAAAAAACAACGACAACGTTAAACACGATTACACGACGAAGTGCTCTTATCTTTCGCGAAGGGCGAAGACGAGAAGTTAACCGCGCAGAAAAGAAAGCGACAATGCCGAGTCCGCGATGTACGTTTTCAGAACGTGGAAATCTCGAGGTAGTTATGTTGGAGATTGCGGGTAAGAAGAACGAAAGTGAGAGGCCTCGCATCAGGGCCTCTGCTCCGCAATAGCCGGCATGTGATGTTACGCGTCCGTCTGTCTGTCCGTTTAATGACTACTTTCGGTTCCCCCAGAGCGGACGCGGCACGAAACTCACGAAACTAAAAAAAAAAAAGAAAACAGGAGAGAAAGATAGAGACGACCTTGGGCTTATAAAAAGCGGAAAGGACCGCATGGTTGCTTAACTTTCCGTGAAGCTCCTGGTGAGGCACACGTGCGTTTGGTGGGAAAGGGTGAAGCTGAATCACTGCTCGTCGTCGCCGCTTCTTCTCTTTTGAGTGAGGTAGGACGCCGGTGGCACTGGCTGATCGAAAACTGTCCTCTCTGCTCCCGCAATCGCCAGTCAGTCGGTTGAGAGCATCGCTGACAGTCGTTCGGTCCGCCAAAGCCAGCTTCGGTACGTAAAAAGACAGCTTTGAATATTTTCCGTCTGCGTAACGAAGCTTTCATTCGTAGCCTGATTTTGTATGAGGAATCTTTATTGTATAAGAATGTTTTTTTTTTTTTGCTTTTTATTTGAAAATTTAGACTTATTGGAAAGCGGTTGATCCGAAATTTTGCTGGTAGATGACCCAGTAATGGTTAATTGGTACGCATGGTTAAGACTATTTATAAAGAGTAATGCTATATGCACTCCGGAGTGCAGCTCGGCCGGAAATTGCTATATGCACTACGTTTGTCTCATATAAAATGAATGATCACAACGAGCTTTCCAACCGGTGGCATAGCGTAGAGGTTAGGGTGTCCGCTTCGTATGGAAGTGACGCAGGTTCGAATCGCGGTGATCCTACTTTTTTTTTTTTCTTTTTTTTCTTGAACATTGTTTTGACGAGGCATTTGGCGATATTTATGTTTCTTTTTTGCGATGAACAATACAAAAAAAAAAAAAACACCGAATGTTGTCGACGAAACTTCGCAGACTTCGCAGATCGGGGACAGCGGGGCTTGGGCTGCCGGCTGGACGCCGCGAAGCGGCGTGTACTGGTTAACTTTTCTAATTAGCAGCCGCATACTGTCGCCGCGAAGCGGCGTGAACGCAGGCGGGGGGCTGGGTTAACGAGCTCCCCAGTGATACACGCGCAGTTCGAAAAAGGGTGGTCCGAGCGGCATGAGCTCTCAGCGTAGTGCATATAGCAATTTCCGTCCAAAGTGCACTACGTAGTGCATATAGCATCGCTCATTTATAAAAGAGAGCTGATGCAGTCATTACGTTGCAGAATTGCCTCTTTTTAGTTAATTAAGAGTTTCTATTCGGATGCGTATTTATAAAAAAAGGTGACGACATCCGAAAATATCAAATAGGATTAGAGCATCGGTACCGGTATTCGCCCAATCATAGCTTCTCCGAGAGTGCCCTTCGGTCCCCAAAGTGGACGTTTATGCGCGCAAGTGCCTCGTCTTACGATAAATAACCTGTCATTAATAGGACGATGTCACCAAGCGTTCGGCGCATGGGTGAAGCCGCCCTAACTTTAGTCATAGCCTCCTCTTTACTCGCAAAGCCTGGCAGTTCGATGACGGAACCATAAAGTGCCCGGTCGCAGATTTGGAGCGTGAGGATCTGGTAGGGCACAGATCATTTCTCGGGGAACCTGGTATTCAGCGCACAGATTTTGCAGCGGCGAGGACCCGAAACATGGTGTTCAAACCCGACGAGAAAAGAAGCGCTAGCGCGAGGAACGCGAGGAGCACGAGCGGACGTTCTATCGCTCGGGAGAAGTGTGTTTCGGCGTCTCGCCGCAGCGGGGCGCTCGTTACATGCCTCTCCTCTCATCCGTTGTCTGCCGTTTTACCTTTTCACTTGTGGCGGCCGCGTCTCGTGGCGATCTGCCAGGATTTGTCAGTATAGAGGAGGCTAAGCTTTAGTTTACAGGAGCCAGGCGGCAGTACCCGAGACGGCTCGTGCCTTCTCGCGCTCTGCATGCGCAGAGCCCGTGCAAAATGACTAAAGTTTCATTGTTACATCGCGGCAGCGACGGCGTAACCAAACTGGCTGGTGAGATCGGTCTATTGATGGAAGAAGTTAGGATTGCATAAGGAGCCGGACAATAGTATACTATTTGGTCACGCTGCCGCTGCGGCCTTGAAGACGGAGGCCGTCCTCGCCTCGGTCTGCTAACGTCGCTGTCGTCTTCTCCAGTTTCGCGGTCGGTGACTCTCGGGCGTTCTAAAATCAAAACAAGAAAATGCTGCTCACAAATAAGGTGTATTTGTGATATTCACAACAGTCTTGGGTAAGCTACCTTTTAAAAGTAATTAGTTACAGTTAGTTTCCCAACTATGCAATTAAGTTGCACTTAGAGTTAGAAGTTACAATTACAGTTTATTTGGCAGAGTAACTTGTTTACTTTCAAGACACTCGAATTTTTTATACGAGTGTATGAAATGTGTAAAGAACAATGCGATGCAGCCGCGGCACTGTCCAGAAACAGCGGTCAAGACTTTCTCCGAGGTGCTTGCAAAGATTGGGATGAAGAGGACTTCCAGGACACATACTCTTTTTTGTAGTATTTGCAGCGGGCAGTGAGGTCATTCCCGCTACATCTAATCAGGTCAAAGCGTCTTTCAGAACCCGACCGCGGTAACGCTTGGCGATCGTCACTCGTGACAAAATCTTATTTGAACACGATTACGATCAATTTTCATCAAACTATTTCTTTTTTTACTTGTAAAGTCGTTTCTCTCTCTCGCTCTCACACACACAGACGAGCAGACCGGTCCATTACAAGAATCGGGATGGGATTGGGTAGCCAGAAAGTGTGGGACTGGGAGATGCAAAAGACCGCTAGTATCAAACAAATTCGAAGAAAGGAATTAACACAAACAGCACAAAGTCGTCTGGAAATGTGTTCAGATTTTTCCTTTTAACAAAAAACGTCGACTGCGGGCGCACGGCCCATCGGAGAGGGCGAGTCGGCCAATGCGAAGCGCAAGTTCGTCTGCTTCTTTTGTAGGGGTTGGGGTGACGTCAGAACGCGCAGCTCTGATTGGCTCTGAGTGAAGAATAGTGGGTAGACCTGAAAGCAAGATGCCTTGGGGTCTACCCACTATCTTTTATTGAGAACCAATCGGAGCTCGGCGTTCTGACGTCACCACAACCCCTGCAAATGAAGCAGACGAACTTTTGCTCCGCATAGAAACGTTGTATGTGGCTCGCTTTTGCGAAAGAAGCGTGCTTCGCAACTTCAAACGTAAAAAAAAAAATAAAAAAAAAATGTAGTTTTGTTTTTTTATTGCGCGTTTACCCGAGCGTGAAAAGAAAATGAAAAGTTGAAAAAATGTCTGCCATCTGCGCCAATGCTTTACAGCGAAGGTAAACAATTTCATTTCTTGTCTTATTTTCTTGATTCTACTGTCGGGCTCAAAATCAGTCACAGACTCAAGCCCGCTGCAGCCTCAGAAAAGTAGGGCGAAGTTTCACAACATGTAACTGTATGTTTGCCGTTAATTTTTAGTTACTTCTACAACAAAGCAATTAAGTTATCGTTACAGTTACTTTCAATTAATGTAGCGCGTTACGGAAAAAACGACAAGTTACTGTATCGCGATACTAACCCAATACAGCGTTCGTTGTCTGTCGCTGGAGCGGGGGTCCATATCACATGAGCGAATGACGTTTTAGCGAACAGCGCCATTT